GTATTAAAGGTGACTGAGGTTCGTTTACTTCAGGTGGGGCTACAAGACCACATCCAACCGTTATTTCTTTTGATCTGATATTAACTTGTTGGAGAAACGGAGGAATCTATTCCGGGCGAGGCTAAGGAGGACGATGCTTGATTGGACAAGGGGCACTTCCAGTTTTCCCCTAAGCGTGCGCGGTTGGCTTTCCGAACTGTCTGCTCGTGTGTTATTTTTTCTCCGCTTGAACACCTTGGTGTCTCGCTACCTCCCAACTTTCCGCCCTCAAATAAACCCTTCTATCCAAGAGACCTTCCTATTTAATGCGGTGCCCTACCCACTTGCTTGCTACAACACGACTTGGTCACTTTAAATGCAACATTAATGTGCGGCAAAGAGGACCACACTTGCGGTGTCAGGTGGTCAAAAATGTTGCTGAATGAAGACCTCAAAAGTACATCAGTTAAGTATTATGGCCTCCGTGGGCAATTCTCATTCAGCGTGCTGTTTTGCACTAATCTTATACTAAAAAACGTAATCTAGTCCGCTGTTTGGCGCAAATGGCTAGAAAAATCTGTTCGGCAGATAGCGTTCAAGAGGAACGTAGAAGAATCCGGGACCTGTTTCGCCGGAACAGGTATCCTGACAGATTTATTGTAAGGAATCTTGCCGAACGACCGGCAAAACTCATCATACTGACGGCAGAAAAGAAAACTCTGTTCCTCAAAGTCCCCTTTCAAGGCGACGCGGCGAGTGAACTCATGAGAAGGCGCCTTGACCAAGCAAGAGTTAAAGTACTGTTATCGATCAACCCCGTCCTACGCGAGGAAGGTGAGGACAGGCTACCAGTTCAGACCACTTCCACGTGCATTTATTCCTTTACTTGCTCTTGTGGAGCAGGCTATATTGGTTGTACGAGTCGGCGCCTATCCGCAAAAATACGAGATCGCCTGCTGGCACGGCTGAGGAAAAGTTAAGGTAAGAGCATACACATCTCCATCCTCGCACACATTATTAATTCAGGGCATCGCGTGGATCCCGACGAAGCCTTCCGTGTGATTTACAAGGTCCCACCTAACTATCCTAAGCGACTGGGTCAGCGCGTACTAGCAACAGCAGAGGCAAATGCCATCAGGCTACAGAGGCCGGACCTGTGCGCGCAGAAGA